GATAAAGCCTTAATTATTAGATGATAAGATTTATAAGTACATATATATATATATATATATATATGTATGTATGTATGTATGTATGTATGTATGTATATCTGTGTGTGTGTGTGTGATTTATATTTTATTAGATAATGAAAATTTATATTAGAGGATATGTTAACAAACTTGTTTATAATTAAGATAGAGTTGGACTTGCTCTAAAGCTTTATAAGGGAAGTTATTTGCATACGTGTTTGAATTTTATGCACACAAAAGTTGCCATTTTATGCTTGATAGTAAATATACTCACCATTATAATGATGTTGGGCATAATAAAGATGACCAACTACATTAGTACAAGATAGAATCGGAACATCTTATGATAGATATTTTATTATTATGATGTAGGGGATGTATGTTGGGTTAGATGTAGAAGTTGAAAGTGAGCTCTTATTATAGTGCAAAGTGCTCATACTCAGAAACTAGTTAGTGACCCCTTCTAGAAAATTGATGACTCGCTTCCAGTCGTTAAAATATAAATTTGAGCTCTTATTAAAGCTATATTCATCTTGTATTTGAATGAAAGTAATTGGTTGGTCCTATATTGAAATTTGTATTATTCATGTATCTCATTAGATAGATTTTCCTATAATTTTCAACAATAAACACACCTACAAAGAGAGAATCATAAGAAGAGCTAAGAATAAAATAAAATATTGTAATCTAGTGCCTTCTCTAGTACTCACAATTCTTTATATTGGAATTTCTTGTAGCTCATTTACGTTTTCTTGTTTTTCTCATTTTGCTAAGTAGGGTTCTAGTATGACCTAGAATAGCTAAATCAAGATTCAACACCGTGCATGCATAATATATTACATTACATCATGATTTTCGTAAGAAAACTTATACCCATGTAAAGCTTAACATGGTTTTGAAGAAATAATTATATATGATTAATCATTATCAAAATTATATTTTGAAATGAAAACTAAATAATTAAATTATATAATCCATGATATAATCCCCAACATCATATTTTATGAATTTCTATATGTAACCTATAAAAATGTTTAATATTTTATGGATTTGCAGCACAAAATAAATTTATGATTTTTCATCATATTTTGTGAGTGCAATAATGATGCTAGCAAGACACTAAATATTTTTTATATATGATCATATGAATATCGAAGTTGTTTTATATATATATATATATATGTATGTATATGTATGTATGTATGTATGTATATCTGTGTGTGTGATTTATATTTTATTAGATAATGAAAATTTATATTAGAGGATATGTTAACAAACTTGTTTATAATTAAGATAGAGTTGGACTTGCTCTAAAGCTTTATAAGGGAAGTTATTTGCATACGTGTTTGAATTTTATGCACACAAAAGTTGCCATTTTATGCTTGATAGTAAATATACTCACCATTATAATGATGTTGGGCATAATAAAGAAGACCAACTACATTAGTACAAGATAGAATTGAAACATCTTATGATAGATATTTTAATATTATGATGTAGGGGATGTATGTTGGGTTAGATATAGAAGTTGAAAGTGAGGAATTTTATTTAATGAGGTGTGGAAGGGTTTATTATAAGGGCTTGAGGGTTTGTAGACTTTGAAAATGTCAAGAGTGGTCAGAAACTCTCTTAAGGGTTCTCAAATGTCAATTATTTTAAGTGGCTTATTTTATATGAACTTTAAGATGAAAGATTAAATTAAGGTAGATTTAGAGATATGACGAGTGCAAACATTCTTTAGGAATCTTAGGAAATTAAGATGCGAGTTTAGAAGTTTTTAGGAAAGCTATGTGGGGATTTTAATGTGTAGATTTGAAGAAAGGCTTAATGGTTAAACATTGATAAATATTATAAACATTTGGTACGTTTTGAGTGAATAATTTTAATAACAAAAGTCTAGTTTTATATGGTATGTCATAATCACTCATTATGTTTCAAGCAAATAGGAAAATGGAATGCAACAATGATAATTATAACCGTCTTCATTTAATGGAAGATTAAACTTATCTTTATTATAGGGCAGAGTAGTTGATGTAGGTCAAGCAAACATGGTCTCATTTGAACAAGTTCAAAGGTCCATTATCATGTTTTTTAATGTATTTTGATGCATAATATACAACATTAATGTGATATGGTATATGGTAGGATATATGATATTTGTCATTTCCGAAAACAAATGGAAGAGTTGCTATCTTTTGTATGTCGATGCATAATATACAACATTAATGCATGTATATGCGGTTATAGCTTAATCAATTGAATGATGAAATCCAAAATAATCAGCAAATATTTTTTGAAAAATCTTTTAAATATAAACTCAATGTATACCAATCTCAGTATTTTCTTCTTTCTATGTTAGTATTTCTTGAAACCATACCTAGACTTAATCCACATTTCCATTACTTTCCCCCCAAAATTTCACTGTATTTTTAAGTTATATCAATTAATCATACTTAAAAAAATTAAAATAAATGATTAAAGTTTTAATGGAATCTCTTGAATTGGAGCATTATTATTTAATTTATATATGAATAATCTTGAGGGACAATCATGATAGCTTTAAGAGAATTATTAAGTAAATTTTTTGTGTACTTTCTTAGGGTCTTTCTTTATTTCTGATAATACCTTATGCAATTTTTTATCTATCTTGATTCAATAATAAATAAAATTTATTCTCTTACAAAATCATATGTCGATTAGAAGCTGGTACTGTCAATTTTTTAATTTATTTATAAGTAAATCAAAATTAAGATTTGTGAGTCATAAGATATAATTTTTTCTCTTTTTTTTATTATTCTCATGCATCCCTTATTTATTAATTTCTTAAATCCCCACCATATTAAAAAGATGTGACCACCCAAATTAACTCAAAAAAATATTGGACCATATCACTTCAAGAATACCATAAACCTTGATATTCATCTATTTGATTAGTCCACATAAAAATCTCATAATTTTCTAACAAGATATCCAATTAACTCAAAATCATCAATATTAGTTAACTTCTGAAACCTTTAATATTAAAATTTTCACCCTTTTACATCAAGAAAATCTTATTTTACACTACTATAAATTTTAGTATGAAATTTTTCTTAGCTGAACAATCCAATATTGTTTCTTAACCTTTCACCAACATTAATTGGTTGTTTGGAATAGCGGCGCGGCTTACCATTGTTATTTTCACTATTTGAATAAATCATTTTTTCCTGTGTTTCATTAAACATGGCTTATTTTATATTGTATATCCCATTGTGGGCTAACACTCATGGTCTTTAATTGTTCGAAGGGATGTTAATCACATTAAACCTCCTCTCTGCCACTGCCCTCGTTATATTATGCCATATCAAGTGAAGCTCTCAACCCTAACTCGAGCTATTCTCTCCCCATATGCTTGTGTTTCCACATTAGTACCTCTGATCATCACTCTTATTATCTCTTTGCTTTGATCGATCTTGAGGTATATTCGATCTGCCCTGGTATATTCAATATTTAAACTCCCCTCTCTGCTTTGATCGATCGTGGGTTGATTTCTTTGATTTTTTGATATAATATGCATACATGGCTTTTGTTTGTGAGATTTTACATGGCTTGATTTTTGTATCTTTGTCTGCGATGGTTCAGAGCTCTTCTTCCTAAAATTTTTCATGCATTTGTCATCGGTTTGGAGCACTTTGTGGACATCCATATGTGGTTTCCTTTGTCGTTTCATTTGTTTTGTGTTTCTTGGCATTGGTATGGGATTGGTTTTCTTTGTTAGTGTTGGTTTGTTCTTTGGGATAAGTTATACTTTTTGTGGTTGGTGCATGTGGTTTTTTGGGTTGGTGTTTTCTGTTGGATGGACGGGGAAGTAAAATAATGCTGATTTTTAGATTTGGTATTCTTTGTTATTGTTGGTTTGTTTTTTGGGAGCAGTTATGCTTTGGAGAGGAAGTTATACCGATGAATGATAGTCTAATATTCTGATAATATTAATTGTTGTTCTTGTATTTTTATTTTTGATTTTGATTGTTGTTCTACTAACTGTTAAGTGAGAAGTTCTTTTTTGATGTAATAGTTGAATATGTAAGTTTTTGAGGATTCTGAAAGTATTTTTTTGTTTTCATGTATGAGTTATTAAGCCTGTAAGGATTATCTTACAAACAACACATCAATACAGAGGAAAATAAGATATATTCTTTTCATAAACAACTATAGCACAACTGCTGTGTAACTAACCTAAACAAACAGAAACACAACTTCTTTGTAACAGCTTCCACGCACAATTACTGCACAACATCTTCAAATTATTGCATCTACCTCAAACAACCCTAGATCATCCTTATAAAACTTATGATGCTTATTATACGCGAGCTTAAGTCACTTAAGAATTGATTAATTTTCCATATGTGAAATAAAGTAAAATTAGGCCTAAAACTCTCAATATTCACGAATCAACCTTCAATATTTTAACTTAAAAAAAAAGATCATAATGATATTCCATTTAGCCCATATAAAGTTGGTTAGATCTTCAAATGTATGGTATGATCATCAAAAGCAAGCAAACATATCTACTTCGAAAATGTTGTAATTCCAAGCAAATAACTTAAATATTAAATGGCATAAATGGATCTTAAATTTAATATTTATTTTAAGAGATTGTATTTCATAATTGATTTCATTAGAAAAACTATAAATTTAAATTGATTGTTATTCTAGCATTAATTCAATAGTTCAATAAATTATGGATTAGATTTAGTGTATCATCAAAATTAAATAATAGATTTTGAATTACAATTTTTGTATTGTCGATGGATTGTCCCATGCAATGAAAAAGAATCAAACATCCTTAATTTATTACAATTTATATATAT